TTAAGTGCCAAACTTCACGACAGAGACATTTTTTACACAGCATTGGTCATATAATAAGTAAACATACATATAAGTATCATACATAGACTGAATTTAATATTAGTTTCAACAGAAAGAATTTGGAAATCTGAAGATACAATGGTTTTTGAGGGGAATACAAGGTTACATTACAAAAACCTACGGCAAAATAATACTAATATTGTGCAATTTTTAAAAATGGTAAGGCTTTGAATAAAATAAAAATAAATAGCATTTGTAATATGTATTGATATTATTAAACAACTACATACAATAGACTGATTATGAGTAACAAACAGAGTAGTTATGAAATATATATTAAATTAAAGTGCATTTATATGCCTAGTATTAATATAAGTCGAGTGATTGTAAAGAATTATAAGGTGGGACAGTTCTAGACTTATTCAACTAATTAGTTGACTTTTTATTGCATTTTGTTCTTATAGTTGTTTTCTTCATGTCGCATTAATACAGGTTTTATTTTGAATGTTTTATTGCATGTCTCACATTCATAAGTCTTTCTTCAGTATGTACTATTTATGTTGAGTTAATGTTTTTTTTGTTTGAATGTCTTATTGCATGTCTCACATTCATAGGGGTCGTTTCAGTATGCACTGATGAATGCCTTCTTAAATGACTTATCAGTGCAAATCTCTTATGGCATATTTTGGCATTCATGAGGCCGTTCCCAGTATGGATCGTTTCATGTCGGATTAAACTTCTTTCGTTGTGAATGTTTTATTGCATATTCGCACTCATAAGAACGTTTTCCAGTGTGGATCACTTTATGTTATTTAAGATTTGTTTCAATCTGAATTTTTCATTACATATTTCGCAAATATGAGGACGTTCACCAGTATGAATTGATGAATTGCCTTAAACTACTTGACCGTAAAAATCTTTTGTGCATATTTTGCACTCATAAGGCTGTTCTCCAGTGTGGATCACTGTATGTTTATTTAAGTTTTCTTTTGTTTTGAATTTTCTATTGCATATTTCACAGATATACGGGCATTCTTCAGTATGCACTGATAAATGCGAACTTAAATTACTTAACCGTAAAAATCTTTTATTGCATATTTTGCACTCATGATGCCGTTCTCCAGTGTGAATCATTTCATGTTGCTTCAAGATATTTTTTTTTGTGAATATTTTACTGCATGATTTACATTTATACGGTTTCAATTTATTAGTTGTTTCACTTTTTCCTGAAACTTCTTCAAATGATTTGTTCGTGCTCTCCACAAAACTACTTGATTCTCTGATCTTTTCATCACACATATAAGAATTTTTATCTGAAACTGTTTTGTTTGTACTAGTCAAGTCATCTTGCTCATAAATCGTCTCTTGCTTTAATTCCTCGTCAATTGTAACCTTAGATTTTAAAAATTGCTGCCGACATATATCATCATCCATATAAAAATCTGATGTATTTTCACAATCATCAAATTCCTGTTTCACTTGAGGATAATCATCGAACGGTTCAGTTTTTATTGTTTTGTTAACTTCAGACATTTTGAGGTTAGTTCGGTTACAATAAACTAATTGGTGATGAATTCTTAAAAATTGAGAAGTCTAAGTGTATAATAATATATGTGTTTCGATATTTACAAATTCGTTTATTGTTTAATATGATATAATGCTAACACTGACCTTTTTACTGAATTTATCTTCGAAGTTAACTTTAATTATTCCATAAACCACATTGACATTACTCCTCCTCCATTTTGGTTTTATAAACAAAAGTTCAAGCTGAAGTTAAACACAAAACAGCTGTAAGTTTTTCGGCGGCAAAATTTGAAATCCGAAATTATTATTAGTTTCAACAAAAAACATAAAATCCTTTGGTAAAATTAATTTAGAGTAAATAATTAATAATAAGTAATTTTTATATTAATTACAGAAACAACATGCGAACCATATGCGAACCACAAACTTTAATACAAAATGGCGAATGGCAAATCTAAGCGATCAATTTTGACGTTTTACATATTTTGAAGCTAGTAGCGACATTTTTTTTCGCTAAAAATAGTAGTCCTTTCCAAAACAGGGTAATATACATTTGTTCGGAGATAACTCCCCATGGCGTTGGTGATGCTTAAAATATTTTTAAAAAATACTAAGCGTGATGCAAAAATTCTGCAAAAAATATATTTAGTATTTTAAAAGATTAGCTAAAAATTACTTTTAAATCTACTCTAAATCAATTTTACCAAAGGATTTTATGTTTTTTGTTGAAACTAATAATAATTTCGGATTTCAAATTTTGCCGCCGAAAAACTCGCATTTGAAATGTGCTTAATGTTGTCCAACCTGATCACGTGTTTATAAAACAAATATGGAGGAAAATTGTCAAAGTGGTTTATGGAATTGTTAAAGTTAAGTTCGAAGATAAATTTAGTAAAAAGGTCAGTGTTAGCATTATATCCTATTAAACAATAAACGAATTAGTAAATATTGTAACACATATATTACTATACACTTAGACTTCTCAATTTTTAAGGATTCATCAAAAGTTAGTCTATTGTAACTAAACTAACCTCAAAAATGTCTGATGAAATTGATTTTACCAAAACAATTAAAACCGAACCTTTCGATGATTATCCTCAAGTGAAACAGGAATTTGATGATTGTGAAAATACATCAGATTTGTATATGGATGATGATATATGTCGGCAGCAATTTCTAAAATCTGAGGTTACAATTGACGAGGAAATAAAACAAGAGACGATTGATGACCAAGATGATTTGACTAGTACAAACAAAACAGTTTCAGAGGAAAATTCTTATATGTGTGATGAAAAGATCAGTGAATCAAGTAATTTTGTGGAGAGCACGAACAAATCATTTGAAGAAGTTTCAGGAAAAAGTGAAACAACTAATAAATTGAAACCGTATACATGTGAAATATGCCGTAAAACATTCACAACAAAACGAAGCTTACAACAACATGAAATGATTCACACTGGAGAACGTCCTTATGAGTGCAAAATATGCAATAAAAGATTTTTATGGTTAAGTAATTTAAGAAAACATTTATCAGTGCATACTGAAGAATGCCCGTATATCTGTGAAATATGCAATAGAAAATTCAAAACAAAAGAAAACTTAAATAAACATAAAATGATCCATACTGGAGAACGGCCTCATGAGTGCAAAATATGCAATAAAACATTCACAGCAAAAAAAAGTTTAATCCGACATGAAAAGATCCATACTGGAGAACTGCCTCATGAGTGCGAAATATGCAATAAAACATTCACAACGAAAGAAAGTTTAATCCGACATAAAACGATCCATACTGGAGAACGGCCTCATGAATGCAAAATATGCAATAAGAGATTTGCACTGATAAGTCATTTAAGAAGGCATTCATCAGTGCATACTGAAGAACGACCCTATGAATGTGAGACATGCAATAAGACATTCAAAACAAAAAAAACATTAACTCAACATAAAATAGTACATACTGAAGAAAGACCTTATGAATGTGAGACATGCAATAAAACATTCAAAATAAAACCTGTATTAATGCGACATGAAAGAAAACATACTAGAGAACAAAATGCAATTAAAAAGTCAACTAATTAGTTGAATAAGTCTAGAAACTGTCCCACCTTATAATTCTTTACAATCACTCGACTTATATTAATACCGCATATTAAATGCACTTTATTTAATATATATTTCAGTAACTACTCTGTTTGTTACTCATAATCAGTGTGTTGTATGTAATTGTTTAATAATATCAATACATATTACAAATGCTATTTATTTTTGTTTTATTCAAAGCCTTACTATTTTTGAAAAATTGTACAATATTTATTATTATTTGCCGTAGGTTTGCATTGTACCATGTATTCCCTCAAAAACCTTTGTATTTTCAGATTTCGAAATTCTTTCTATTGAAACTAATATTAAATTCAGTCTATGTATGATAGTTTTTGCAAAAACAAATTTTTAAAAACCAAATGCACCACCAAATGTGCGTAGCGTACTTACACAGATTAGTAATGTATTTATTTAAAATACGCCTGATCACACGGCAAATAGATAGACATATTCATTAACAAAAAACAAGCATAAGATATCGTTACCATGACAACCCTATTTTATGAGTCAAAATCGCCCCCTAAGTCTACTATATTGTACAAGCAAAATTATAAAATACACACTTTTAGGTTTTCAGAAAAATATCGAGATTTTTTTTACATTTTTTCTTGGAATATTGTCCTAAAATTTCAGCAGCTATTCGTAAATCGTAATTTGGTACAAGATCGTGATAATAGATAAACTAATATTTAAATTGATGGCAAACGCGGCCGCTTTGACATTACATCGATTTTAATTGTTTCAGCATATCATAGATGTCGGCACTGAGCGTAGCACGTAAATTTACCCTTAAGGAAAAGATTTATATAAATATATAATATATAAAAGATGAGCCAAATTAATTTGACCAAATGCAATAAGCACAAAATATACGTGTGTAAAATAGGTTTTTAACGAAATCAGAAATATGTTGTAAAAAATATATAACATTTTTTTCAGTCAAAAAAGATATATTGCAATATATAAAATTGGTACTTGAACGTTTAAAGTACGTGTACTATATCTAGTGTGTTTTAAAACAAACGCTGAATTTGATTGAAGCGCACTCTCGCCATCTGTGATATGCTAAAAGCACTCATACAGAGTAAAGCGCAATTGTTTTATGTCCTCGTCAAAATCCAACTTTTAGACCAAAAAGTGCTCCAAAATTGAAGTCAACATTTATGCTAATTACAATGACAAACCGATCATGTCATATTTGAAGTATGACTTTAATTGTAAATATTTCTAGCGCTATTATAAATATATAATTTATAATTTATCATTATATAAATGTGTATAATAGTAGACGACGCTAATAAATGTGTGAATCACGAGTGTTACCATATTACTAATAAACTAAATTATTCAAAATTGTTATATGATGTATTTATTTTTACTTAAATGCCTATCTTGTACAGTAGCAAAAAAGTTTTACTTCAATCGCGCACTCTTTTTTTACCCAAGGTCTAAAAGTTGTATTTTTACCATCAAAAATCTCACCACCACCAAACCCTTGGTACCTTGTTCTTTAAATTTATAATCATCCCTTATAATTTTCTTCGTCTTCTTAAGGGCTTGGCATATAATCCGAAAGGACATCGGAGGGCGTCCCTTCGCTCGAATTTACCGAAAACGCCCGATTGGGCGTTCGGCGTTGACGCAAAACCGAAGGATCGAAGTTTGGGTGACGTCTTGCATGTTTACTAGAAAAAAAACAAAGAATTAATTAAAAATAATTTTTAACTTATTATATATCATTTTTGAAGTAAAACTTCTTTAAGCGCGACTAGGAGATATTATGATCAGGTGACTTTTTTACCTAAGATGATCACTTCGCATGAACCTCTTGTCACAAACAGGACAAGGAAAGTTTTTTTCTCCGGTGTGTGTGCGTGTGTGACGTGCCAGCTCGTCACTCCTGGCGAATTTTTTTCCGCATCCTGACCAGGAACAGGGGAAAGGCCTTTCACCTGAAAAAGAGACAGAAATTTAGTGATTATAATTAAAAATATATCTTTTATATAAAAATGGAGCTCTCGATAAAATGATCCGCTCGAAACTCGAAAACGGCTAAACCGATTTGGCCAGTCTTAGTTTTGCTAAAAATTCGTGCTAATCAGTAAGTTGTCGGAAAGGTGAGATATTATTTCAAAATCGCGCAGCAGCTTTACATATTTAATTTGAACATTTTTTTAGAAGCGTAATTTGAATAAAACAATGGACGGTGGCTAATACGTCAAATGTCAAACGTTTTTGACAGATGATGTTCAATTACGTTTTAATAGGATGTTTTACGTGAATATTATTTAATTATGATTAAATTGTAAGGTAAAAGACCCAGTTATTGACCCTGGCCCAGTTTCTGACCTTTTCAACTTTTTTTGGAATTAATTAAAAAACTATACATTTAATGTGAAAATAATTTTTTTCTTAATTGACAGTAATTTATTCTATGCCTCATTAATGTCAATTAAAAAAATATAAAAAATATTAACTAAATAAAAAAAAAATTTTAAACCAAAAGTGACTGTGGAAGCCATTTTTTAGCTTTAGTCTAAACAGTTTATGTAAGGAGCTACGACAATTGAGTTCGTGCACTAATTATGATGTAAGTACGAAAATCTAACTAAAAATATACAAATAAGTCAATAATTAATTAAAATTTATTTTAAAATATTTATAAAACATATTAAATTTAGTTTTATTACTGAAATTTGAGGGTCAATAACTAGGCTCAATTTTAAGTGTATGTCACAGTTGTTGACCCTGCAATTCTAACCTTCAAAAGGTAGGTTATCTGTCACGTGTTTTTAGTCACTTGTTCATTAAATGTAAAAATAATGTTATTTATTGTTATCTTATATTTTTTTTACTATTTTTCGTAGTAAAGTGATAAATTTACATTTAATATTCATTGGTATAAATGAAAGATTGTATTTAAATCTTGTAAATACATCTTTTAAGTGATAAAATTATTAATAAAAAAATGTCAGTTTTATCAACGCTTAAATTATGACTGTTTTAGTTTACTAATATTTTTATTATTATACAATTATACAATTACAATTAATTAAATGAAAATTAGAAGAAGAAAAAGAATTGAAAACAGCTGAAAGGTCCAAAAATAAAGCCATCAAGGAGGCAGAAAAAATAATTAAAAAAGAAAAACTTGAAGAAAAAAAGAAACAAAAAGCTCTTAAAATAAAAAAAAAGTCCAAGTAATTTAAATAATTAATTTTAATTTTTTTGTTTGTGTAATATGTTATAACAAGACTTGAACTATTTATACGTTAAATTTTAACAAACTGTATATTTTTAGAATAAATATTTAATTTATTTATTTTAATAATAATTTCAGTTTAATTAAAATTAGTAAGCACTTCATAACCTAATCATGATTAAATTTGAGGGTCAGAAATTGGGCTACGGTCAGGGTCAGAAACTGCCACACGAAGAATTCTGAGGGTCAGAAACTGGAGCTCTTAATGTCAATTTTTAAAACGTCAATTTAAAATATAAATTTAGTTCAAATAATTTTTTTATGCACATTACTTTATTTTAAAAATCCTAAACTAATAGATAAAATTATAATTTTCTTCATTAAGTTAAGTTTTATATTAATTATTATAGTTTAACCTCCACCGTCACTCTAAAAAGGTCAGAAACTGGGCCCTTTACCTTAGTAAGTAATTTTGTTTGTAGTTTTAATTATATACAAAAACGTTATTAAATGGGCCGCAAGTGTTACTACAAACTCAAAACATCAACTTTTTTGAAATGTTAATATGAAAATGCATTTTTTGGCGTTGTAGCACTCTTTTTTCGCAAATCATATTTCTTTCTGTAATCTTTCAAAATGTATAATAAAAGTATCTTCTTCCGTTGGTAGTTTTTTAGCATTAGTTAAAAATGTAATTATTTTGTAAAATACCTTTAAAATTAAAATAAGACATTAAACCTGTTTGTCATCCGGCCGTTCCAAGTTACCCCGCCTATAGGGTAAAAAGGTCTAATAACAAATTTTTGAAAGACAGCCAAAAAGCATAGTTTTACAATGATGAAGTAGCTGGCAGTTTTACTGAACGTAGTCAGATAATTGTTCGTTTAAAATGTGTTATTTGTTGTGATATAATTGGTTTGGTTATTATAATATAATTAATATTTGCTCAAAGTGAAATTGGACGTTTGTGTCTTACTTTTTATCAAATTTACTTTAATTCACCGAATGTTACTTGAAACTTTTCAAAAAGCAGGTCAAAGAGAAATACTTGATTCATTTTCTATCTATCCTCGCAGAAATTTGAAAATTTTGTATAAGCTCAGTAGTATTATTTACAATTATACAACAAAAATCCAGAATCCAAAAAGAATCTGAAAAACTTGAAATGTAATCAGTAAGTCGAAAGACCAAAAAAAACTTGGATTGGATTATATCATGTTTTCTATGGAAAGTGTATAAAACTTCCAGTTTGATTGTATCGACAAAATATAGACAAACTAATGGGATTTATTGTTTTTATAATACTCCATTGTATATAGCATTCAAACAACATATTCTTATACACTTGAAGTATTAATATTTTTGATTTTCTAGAAATGGTTTAGAATATACCTTACTTAGCAAAACAACATATATATTCTGACAAGCTTCCTTTAATTGTGAATCATCTCGTGGACCTGCCTTTCTGAAAATTCGAGTATTTTTATTCCAGATTGATATTCGTCTACTTTTTATTTTTCGTCTCGATGTTAGAGAGAAGAATTATTGTAGAAATTTTCATTCTAAATGTGTCACATCACACACATAGTGTGACAGTGCAATTTCCTGAATAGATGCGTTTTGTTCATCACACTTTTCAATTTCAATTTCGAACATCGGACGATGAAAATTTCCTAGGGAAAAGCGATAAAACAACGTCGATGACACGTTCGAGATAAAAAAATTCGATCTATTAAAATATCGAAGCAAAAAAAAACAAATATTTAAAAATGCGGATGCCAATGACTACATTGCTCCTGAACATGAGCAATGTACTGAACAACTATGAAAATTAACATAATTCGGGATGAAAAATAAATAGCAATTTGTGTTGGGGGTGAAAATTTAGCATCGTGTGTTTTTCTAAATTCCATTTATGCGGACTTTTTTAAATTTAGCTATTTTTCCAATGAGACTTTTCTCCCTTGACTGTATTTTCTCGATTACGAATTCCGTTTCCATGGCCTCCGTTATTATTTCTCGTCCGTGATCCGAATTGCTAAGAGAGGAAAAAATACTGCAAATTATTTCGCCGAACCAATTATCATTTGTAATTTGAGAAACAAGGCCGACACCGCCAAAACCACCACCGCCGGCGCACGTTTTAATAATGAAAATCACGGCAGGGCCGTCGAGGGTGGTTAATAAAGAATTATAATTGAGGGCGAAAAAAGGGCGGACGATCGATCTAAAGACTATATAAAGGTCTCTAGGAAAAAAATCTGAACGACCTAAAGATGTTATTTAGATAGGTCTCTATTAAAAAAATCTCCGAATGTGGTATGCAATGTAGAGTCCAGGTCTCTGATCCGTTCATGGTAAACTAAGTGTTAAAATTCGACAAATTAACATCTCTTTATTTCTATTAAAGTTTCTAGTGAAGTTCTTGAACCCAAAATATAGTTTATATAAATTTGTTTGTCAGTGATAATTTTTGAAGTTAAACTTTTTTAGGCGCAACTAAGAGATTACTGGACGACATAACTTAGTAAAACAAAAATTAAAATTTGTAGTTTATGCATAGTTTTCACAGTGCACATTAGATTCATTCAAAAATTTTATATATAACTATACTGAAATATTTATTGAGAAATGCTGTAAATTTTATCTAGTTTTGTCTAAGCTAAATAAAAAAGAGTGTCCTAGACAAAGTTTTTGAGTTATTTAGAAAATTGTAGAAAAATGTCCTGAAATCTTGTATGGGCAACTTAGGAATACTTTAGGGCGAGTTTACATTAAATTTATTCAAAAAATTTATATAAGACTATACTGAAATTTTCGTTGAGAAATGTTTAAAATTTGATCTAGTTTTTGCCCAGTTAAATAATAAAGATTGTTCTAGACAAAGTTTTTGAGTTATTCAGAAAAATGTAGAAAAATGTCCGAAAATCTTGTACAGAAAATTTAAGATATATAATATATAAGGGCGAGTTTACATTGGATTTATTCAAAAATTACATACGTGGTCTGTTCAAAAAGTACCCGGAATTACTAATAATTAAATTTCGCGGGTCTGGAGTGTCTGATTGTCAAAATTTTTTTTTTATTGTGTTGGTATACATGCCCCTAAAGTATGATGAAATTTTCAGCTATATTCACTGTTTACTTTGTCTGTGGTAGTCGCTAAGGTTCGACGTGTTTTTCTGAGCTCGGCGATTTTTACAATGGAAGAATTGAAAAGTCAAAGAATTTGTATTAAATTTTGCGTAAAAAATGAAATAAAGTGTTGCAAAGTGCAAAAATTCACCAGATATGGCTCCGTGTGACTTTTTCCTATTCCCAAAGTTGAAGAGACCCATGAAAGGACGGCGGTTTTCCTCGATTGAAGAAAATCGCTGAGAGTGCTCAAGGACATATCAAAAAGTGAATATCAAGGGTGCTTCGAAAATTGGAAAAAACGCTGGCATAAGTGTATTATATCTGGGGGGGACTACTTTGAAGGGGACCACATTAATGTAGACGAATAAATAAATATTTTTTTGAAAAAACGAAAATTCCGGGTACTTTTTGAACAGACCACGTATGAGACTATACTGAAATATTTATAGAGAACTGTCATAAATTTTATCTAGTTTTTGCTAAGTTAAATAATAGAGAGTGTCCTGGACAAAGTTTTTGAGTTATTTAGAAAATTGTAGAAAAATGTCCCGAAAGCTTGTATAGAAAACTTAGGACAATATATAAGGGTGAGTTCACATGGGATTTATACAA